GAAGTCTTCTCTCAGGGTCGATGATACTATGATACTATGATATTCTAACACCCGTGTGGTGTAGCCTCCTCGTCTCTGCATGACCTTGATGTTACAGTTTGGCACCAGAGCTCACTATTATGCGTCAGGGCAGGACCGGAGTCCACTCTGGTAACCCAGTTGCTCAATACGTCTGCATCGGAGTGGGTTGGTGGGTGATTAAGTTGCAAGTCCCAACAGGCCAGAAAACACGGGATCGATTCATTCATCTAACTTAGCTCATCATCGTCCTGAGCCTCAGCCGCGACCGGATCCGGATCCTCTGGTACTTGACTAATTGCATTGGCCCTGGCCACTGCGTCCGCACCGCCATTTCCATCCTTCCCGTTTGTGCCTTTGACCCGATCACCCTCACCATCAATCAACCTCTGCTCCACGCTCTCCATCCCCATCCTCGAGCTCTTCTCCAACATAAGATATTCATCCCACTCAGGAAACAGCTCCTGATCCCCGTCTAGCCCCTCCTCCTTATCGGGCGGCTGTCCAATCAACCTAGCAATCTTGCCTTTGCCATTCTTCTCCAACCCTTCTTTCCACCGCTTCACCAACCCTGGCGCCCGACTGGGTCGATACGTCTGCGAGAACAAAACCGCCTCAGCCACCCGCCCCGTTTTCACAAGCAACTCAATACAGGCTTCCACATCTCCACAAGCCCACAACGCCGAGAAGGCGACATTATTCGCACCCGCTGCATCAGCTTGTGCAGCTAGCTTCTTGAGCGCATCTTTGTTGGCCGTGCTTGTATGCAACAGCAACAAAGATCCCAGATCTTTAGCGTGCGTGAAGCATTCTTCTGCTAGCCTGATATCCCACGCTGCGAGTGCGGCATCGCCGACCGTTTTCCAGCGATGCTCCGCATCTGCTTCTCGGGCTATCTCAAGCGCGATGAGTAGGTTGCCTAGGCTCAGTGCAAGCTCGAACCGATGTTCGGGGTCGGTGGCGACGTCTAGGGCGAGCTCTTTGTAGCCTTGGCCTTCGAGGAAGCGGGCGATCTTGTTGAGTTGGTCGCTGGGTATTTCAGGGAGGAGGGATTGCGCGGAGTCTAGGTCGCCGCGTAGAACGAGGGTCTGATACTCGACGACCGTGAGGGAGAGAGAGTGGGAGATGACATTCACGTCTTTGTCTGCGAGGTAGAGGCGTCCGTCTCGGGGTATGTAGCCAAGTAGGTACATGCCCTGATCGAAGTGAGCGATAGTGTATGTCTGGTCACCAACTAGATAGTTGAGTCGGTTTGTGGAGTTAGTATAGACGAAGCAATCGCCCACCCATTCTCCTGTTCGAACGCAATCTTGAATATCGGTTACGATCTCAAAGGCTGCTTCAACTCCATCTTCATCGGCAAGGCCAGCGTTGAATCCTTCGAGGTAAGATTCGCGGTTATAGCGGAGAACGTAGGTGCTGTCAGCACACGCAAGGGCAACAAGTTCGCCTGATTCGGACCAATAAACCTGTCAATCTGTAAGGCCTAGGAAATCAACTTGTGAAAATTGTGCGTACCTCTCTAGGGTCAACCTCTATCCTTCGAACGAGATTACCTGATTCCCACTCGAACAAGCCAATTCCACCTTGACCTTTCACGCCGAGGAGGACGCCTCCGCTCAGTCCTTCTGCCTGGAAGCCAACATCGATTCCTCCCGGCTTCTCCTTGAAATTTTTAAAGACCTTGACGCTCGTAGGTGACTCTCGAATCGCGTAGTCATTGCTGTTGTCCTTGGATCCCCACGCAAAGTCTAGGGCAGATCCAAAGGCCTTGTTTCTCCAGGCCAAAGCTGTATAAATAATGTACTCGCCGTCCCCACACACAGAGACAAACCTGCCGTTTGGAGAATGCTCCAAGGTCTGTGGGTATATTTCACATGAACCCAGCTCTTTGGTAGGCAGCGATAGAGGAGCACCGTCTTTGAGACCATGCTCACTACCCTTGATTACAGTTGTGACAACTTCATTGTGACGTGCCCAGACCAGCTTTCCTGAACCATCCATTGAGACAGCAGGTTCTTCCCGTCCCATCTTTACCACAACTGCGCCATCATCAAAGCCCATAGCAATGCCCTGTTTGCCTCGTTGATAGCTTACACACCACGCTCTCTCTAAGCCGTAGCTTAGTGACTGCTCTAATCGATATGTGTTGGCGTGCCATATCTTGATTGTCCCATCTTCTGACCCAGAGATGATGATTGGCAGCTCGGGGTGATAACAAGCAAACGAAACATTGCTAGTGTGGCCTTCTAGCGTAGCAATCAGTGCCTTCGTTGTGTAGTCCCATATCTTGACGGTCTTGTCGTCTGAGGTTGTGAGCAAGTATGGCTTGTCAGATTGCGGGTAATAATCAACATGGTTGACACCCTTCGTCTCGTGTGCTTCAAGTGTGAAATTTGGATGATTCGAGCCCAGATTCCAGATCTTTACAGTGCGGTCCAGGCATGCTGAAGCAAAGGTATTGGTGTCCTTTGGATTGATAGCCAGGCCCATCACATAATGGCTATGGCCTTCAAACACTTGTACACATTTCCATGCTTTGTCCCAATCCCAAAGCTTAATGGTCATGTCATCCGATGCGGTAAGGACGAAGGGCTGTGATGGGTGGACAACAATGCTTCGGATATAGTCTGGATGCGCTTCGAATGAGGTGATCTTCTCGGAGGTGTTGTAATTGTAGACGCGCAATTGGAAGTCATCTGAGCCGCAGACGATCCAATTCTTGCGAGCGACGAATCGGCCTGCTCGGACGGGGACATCTGTGAGCTCGAACGTTTTGACAATTGCCTGGCATATTTAGCGTTGAGGTGAAGCAGCAACACGAATTGGTTACCTGTGTCTCATATGACCAGATGTAGACATGACCAGAGTACAAGGTTGTGAGAATCCATGGCTCAGTGGGGTGGAAGTCGATGCCCTTGACGCGCTCCGAGCGAGCGAACAGCTGTCTCTTGACGTCGAGCCGCATGCTTGTAAAGTGGCTGCACAACGAGCGCAGGAATGCGGGTCAGAAAGCAAGAGGAAGAAAGAGGAGGAAGGCGTCCAGGTATGTGGTCTATGCCATCCTGTGAGAAATGATAAAGTACTCCAAGATATGAATACCTCTGTTTAACTTGCCAGGTATGTATGGCCGCTAGCAACCCTAAGCTAAGTGCCACTAAGCCTAAATACAGTATTTGGTGTCCGGAGAGCTTTCAGCCTTGTCACCTCTTCCACTTGCAGTCTACCTAACTAACTAGTACAGTATCATGTATCAATCAACACGAGTCGCCTTCTGGAGTTTCCAATACTGCAGACAAGCTGCGCGTCTTCTGCGGCAGGGTAAACAGCTTGGCCATCCATGAATGCTGCTTTGAGTAATGCCACGGTGCTGTCCTCAACCCCTCAAGCCGAAATCACACGCAGCTATGACGCCGTCTTTCCAATTATTATGCAGCGCAGGAAGAGAGTTAATGAATGAGCACTTCCATTCGACTGAATGATGAAGCGACATGTGCTATCCATGAAGCGGAAGCCATGAATTTCACCCTTCTCTGAGCATGATGACCGCATCGTTGGTTTTCATTAATGCCACCTACAGCGAAGAAGGCCGGACCTTTACTGATGCAGCACTTCATGTTGTCATCGCAATTGTTGTATAGGCCGGTGGTGGAGGAGAAGGTGAAGCAGAGAGAGCTCTAGTCTCGCTCAAACCTTCGTCTCCCGTTGGGGCGTCTGATAGCACGGTAAGGAAACTGTCTCGCTCTGTCGTTCCTCCTGCCGGTCCAGTCTGTGCTGGCGTCTTCCATATTCTCTCCCTCTGGTCAAAGTCTTGTCCAGGTCCCGTGGGTTCTGCTCTCATCCATCCTTTCTCTTGCTGCGTCCTTCTTTCAATCATTCCTCTTCGCAGTCGTGACCACCGATATGCGAAGATGAAAATACAGAATGAGAGTACCAGTAATATTGTGCAGCCAACGGCGAGGGGAACGACGGAAGTGAGGTCTGAGGAGTTGGCTGAGGAGTTTGCTGAGCCAGATTGATCGTCTGTGACAGCGCCAGCCTCTCTTCTTTCAGCAGCGGGCGGCATGTGCTCTGAGTCCCGGGTGTAGGATGTGGTTGGAATGATTGTAGTGGTGAGTTTACAAGGACTGGGTCTCCAAACGGCGGATAAGTTCAGGGAATCTGGAAGCAGAGATAGACTATGTTCCTGGCCTAACTGACTGACGTTGGCATGTATATGCATGTATGAGCAAGTTGCTCGAGGGGAACGGGAGTTAGCAAGAATAAAGGCATCAAAGGGAGGCCTCAATATTTGTGCCGTCAAATCACAACCTCTAGCACAAAAATCTCCAGCATCCACTGCCCATAGCTCAGCCACCTCCTTGTGACCACTACTAAGTAGTAAGCCAAATGTTCATAGCTGACACCGCCGTATGCCTTGCCCTAATGGATGCAGAATCCACCTTATAGTTCACGCCACTACTAACTCGAAGGAGACATGCCACCATATCCATCCCGTTGCGCATCAATGCCACCACCAACCCCAGCGAGCAGACGTAACACTGCCCTGCACCGGGATCCGGATCACGGGTCTCACGGCAGGTAAGCTTTGGCCGAGGCTGACCGGGAGATCGACGAACGCAAAGTCCCAACTAGCCCAAAAGGAGTATCTGAAATACCACTCACAGGAGTTTCATCTAACAGCCTCCACTGCAGATCCACGGGTCCCGTGCTGGTAGTTTCCGAATCAGGGCTGACGACCACCGTTTTGAGACGTTTCATCGAACAGAGCTTCAGTCAAGGTTTAGTGTCATCTGACTTCGCAACTCCGGGAAAAGTTCGACTGTCCATCCTCGGCTGTCTAGGTGCTCATGGCATCAGCAGGTGTCCCCTGCTGCAACGGCGGGGTCTGGCTGCATCATAGGCCAGCCTTCCCTGGACCAAAGGCTGTGGGGGAGAGACCGCAGTGTATAACAGATGGACTATGTTATGTTCATACGGTGACTAAATTCTGCTATGTGAGAGCACCAAAGGTCTGATAAGTATGTGTATATTAATACTAGACGATTGGGAATAGAGCTTATGCTTGTAAGTCCCTAAGAAAAGATCCTGACCAAAACTCCGGGATTGAAGCTGGTGGACAGAATCTGTCACAGACTTGTGCAACTTGGAGGGTGTACTTCTTGGTGGGAATACACCATGTACGCCACTCTCTTAAAAAAAATCCCTGATTAATAGCTGTGTGATATAGTCGCAAGACTCAAACGCAATTTGGCGTCGCAAGAGTTATTAGCTGACGTAGCTAGGAGCTACCGACGAATCTTTGCATCACCTTTTCATGGAGACCTTTTCGGCGGGCTTTTCTTCTGTATTTTCCTTCGCGGCAGCCTGTTTTCTGGCACGACGCCCAGTCTCAACTCTCTCGGTCACATATATCGTACACTCGGTGCCTGGTTTTGACGATACATCAGGGTGGACAGGGCATAAATTCATGTGCCTTTTTCCAGACATACCAATTTGTACAACTTGGGTCAGCTCACACTATGATACCAAAGTTAGCAACAGGACTGGACAGAGGGTAGTTGTACGTTGCATACCAGTGTGCTGACCTTTCTCCATTTTTTTATTTCAAGATTTGGTGCACGATTCCCCAAAGGGCAGCCGAAATACCGTGGTCATGGATCAATCCTCAGGGTCTGGAAAGCGGGTACTGCCTGAGAACGAAAGATTGTTCTGTTTGAGAACAGGGTGTTGATCGAAGGACTGGTGTAATGCTGCTGGGTGACTTTATGCTGGTCTAAGTTACAAAGTAGCAGTGATGCTAAAGGCTTATCGTTGCCTGTATTGGCCGTGTGGCTAGGGGCGCGGAAATGTATCACAAAGCAGTATTTCTCCCACAGGTAACAAACTGACATGGGTGCCTCTCAAACTCCACCATGTTTTTGTCCTGTTTGCAAGATCTTTTGCATTGATACTTACTTTTATGACCATGAAAGACCTCATATAAATTCTCAAACACATCGCCATAAGTTCTGGACTTCGTCTGTATGGTTCAGTCAACGCCACAATCCGTTTCCATTGCCAGAGAATTCTATGAAGAACTCGTGCGCCAGCCAAAGTGATCATGTAAGCGCTCCTATGTCCTTCCTTCCGTATACAACTCTCTACTCGCTATGAGCAACAGATGTTAATATATCAGACGCCTTGCTGATGCTGTTGGCAGTAGCTCGATCGATCCACTTACAGCTTTGTTTTAGCCCTCGTGTCAATTGGTCAGACTGATTACGCCAATATGATCAGGAAGAAGACTTGGAGGAGTTTGCTCCAGTTCTGACAAGATTACATCTTGGTAAAATGCCTCCGGTTGCTCCCTCGTTCGGAAATTGCTTCTGAAAGCAGAGAATCAGCTGACAACACTGCCACTGAAGTTTGACCTGATGCCGAGCCGTTTTCAGGAGCCTACCATACTCTATACATTTTCAAGTTCCAGAGTGGCGTTCGATGGATGTCAAAGATACCTGCTGGAGGGCATCCTCATAGGCATGACGAAGAAGTGGCTGGGGAGCTGAGATCAGAAGCACTCACAATGCACTTATTCAAGAGGCTAACAACAATCACCTTGCTAGTAGTTTATTCATTCGATGCATCATTGGACAACGCCATCAAACGTCTCGTCGTTCAGATGAGCATATTGATGGCAAATCGCTAAGTGATGTCTGGTTCGACAAAACCGTCCCACTTGAAGTGTTGAGAGAACAGCATGTTAGAAGCCTGCAGGACATTGCATCCGCCATGTTGCAATTGAATCAGTTCAAATTTAACAAGATATGTCGTATTGCATTCGATGAGGGTGGTCAGTTCACCTAGTCCGTTGCCTCAATATGTTTTCAAGATGATTATGCCATGTTCAGACGGAGAGACGATGCCGATGAGCGACCAATCTTCTTCATGGAGGACCTATTTTGAACTGTAACAGCTCTCATGAACACCCAATTCGATCAATTCTGCAGTTTGCCATCGGATAGATTTGGTCAAAGGGTCTTCAAACTACTGCGACTCTTTATCGTCTGGGTCCCCGAGGCAGCCGGGGTAGCTGGTTCGGTCCCGGTCATCCTGGCTTCGATATTCAAAGCTTTATTGTCTCAGATAATGGAGCCCTCTGAGCCATTATTGACTGGGATGGTGTGTGTTCAGAGCCAAGGGTCGTAGCACCAGAGGTATGCTCTGGACGGCTGACACGAGACTGGGACCCGCTGATGTATGGGTATTTCACAAATGGTAGCCAGTTCGAGAACTCACCAGAAGAGCTTGCAAAGTACCGGCAGGAATACCTGCGCGTTGTCAAGGCTCTGGGATCGAACAATGACGGCACAGGGCCAGAAGAAGTGGACGTCACATTGACTCGTCAGTCGCTTGTCATGAAGAGCATTTGCATAGCAGCAGGGAACTTTGTTTCAACCTGGCCAATAGTGGGAAAGGTGTTCAAAGAAATCGCGCGTCTCGTTGGCCCAGAGGCCTATCAAGAAACGGAAGGGAAGATCCCCAAGCAGGGTGGCGGGAAGGAAGACTTAGACGCACCACAGAACCCCGCGCATGGCAAAAACAAAGCAGGAGACGAAGTACAAGAAGAGGCAGAAGGCGCCAATTCTGGGTTGGAGAGCGATAGCGAGGAATCTTTCATCTGGAAGGACGACATGGGAGAATTTCGGTTATGGTTAATCGCTCACACTCTCGTGGACGATAGCCTAGACGAGCAGCGCAAAGCATTGCTGAAAGAAGGGTTCGATCGATTGCTTGCCCGAGGATGATCAGACGTTGGCGTCTGCAAAATCTTCCCACATGCTCCGTAGATTCAAATCATTTACGATACTCTATATCGGAGCCAGGATAATCTCCCCGTTCCAAGTTGGACCCCATATATTAGTCCCAAAACGGATACGGTCTGGTGCTGCTGTTACGCTCAAAATATACACAACTGCCGCAGTGCATGACTAGTGCTCAGCGTTGGTTGTTATGAATGCGTAGCGTAGCACGGCATACTAGAGGAACACGCAGATGCATCCTTACAACAAAGAAAATCCAGCCTGGACAGTGGGAATGGAAGGAACAGTCGGGCAGGTGGATGCGTGAGAATTTTGAGGTAGCTAATCGAGTGCCACTCTAAGCTTCAGTGGCGCCCGCATTGCAAGCATCCTCGCCGAAGACGTCTTTCTTCAAATCGCTGTAATCTATAGTGGAAATATTCATGTCATGCCCGCTTTCAGATATTGTCAAAAGACGGGTCCTTTACACTTCCACCAGCGTCCCCAAGCCCAGCAACAGGTCGGTTGTATGACCATCCTGCAAACTGCTGTTGCATGGTCTGTGAGAGCATTGGTCCATCCACGTACGAGTCCGTTGGCGCCTCAGAGGTAAATTCGCGATCGAAGTTAGCCGTGTCACGAGCATCAACCTATGCTTGAGTTAGTGCTTCAAGCGGAGTTGGCCTTTACGGTACACTTACCACGTTAGGTCGAAAGCTGGGTTCATATTTCCTCTGTAGAAGTTTCCTCCAGTCAATGTTAGAGAAGAAATGATGCGCCTTGATTTCCGCAGCGCCGTTCGCGCCTAATCGACGTTCAGGATTACGATCAAGTAAGCGAGTCAGGAGATCCTTGGCGGCAGAAGGGACGATGTCAAGTCCAGGAAAGTGGAGAGGTTCTTGGAGAATCTTTCTATACATCTCGTTCGTATTCTCATCATAAAATGGTGGTAATCCAGTTAGCATTTCGTAGAGGAGGACGCCAAGAGTCCACCAGTCGACTGTTTTAGTGTACCCATGACCAAGTAGCAATTCGGGAGCGAGATACTCTGGCGTTCCGCAGAAAGTGTTTGTGCGATCTTCGTCTTTCATGTCCAGCTTACAGAGACCGAAATCGCACAAGGCAATATGACCAGAGTAGTCGAGTAGAATGTTTTCTGGTTTGAGATCTCGGTATATAACTTTGAAGCCATGCAGACATTCAAGGGCACACAACAGCTCAGCTGTGTAGAACCTGGAGCGGTTAATGTCGAATCGCTGCTCTTTCTGTAGATGATGGAAAAGCTCGCCGCCATTAACAAATGCCAGCACCAGATAAAGCTTCTCAGGAGATTGGAAGGAGAACTTGAGCGGTACGATGAAAGGATTGTTGATTTGTGCCAGGACGGATCTTTCTGCGAGTGTATGTGCAACCTCGGATCGCGAGATGATATGAGCTTTCCGGAGTGTTTTCAGGGCATATATTCGTCCAGTATCCTTCTTCATCACCTGCATGACTTTACCGAAGCTGCCTTTTCCTACAACTTTGAGAAGCTCGAAATCCTCAATCTTCAGGCTTCCCTTCTTGCTCTCAACATAGTTGACGCCGATCTTGATCTTGCCAGTTCCGAACTGGACGTCCAACCACTGCGCCCCTAATTGTCCGGCTTGTTTCTCTTGCGTGGTAAACATGGCTTCCGCCTTGTCATTGTCTTTCTTGCTCTTCCTAGGATCCGGGATATACTGTCGTGTCTCTTCGAATCTTGGTGTTACTCTGGCCCCACCTAGGAAGATGTCCTCGCTTCTTCCCGCACCCGGACGCGCTGCTGGGTTTCTCAGATACAGCTGCACACTCAGCTCGGTCTCTCTCGAGACGTCAAACTTGAAGGATGTGTTGTCGCCCGCCCACAAAGGATTTTCCGGGGATCCTTGTACGGCATCGACAAATACCTGTAACTTATCGAAATCAACTAGAGCATATGGAAGGTATCGGCTGTTATAGCGGCCATGATTTGTCGGAGCAGCATTGATACCACCACTTGTAGAAGCTGGTCGATTAGATCCTGCATATGAACCAGCAAAAGAGCCGCCGGTGTAAGATGAATTAGGTCGAGCAGAGCCAGCTACTGCTCCCTGGGCAAAGTGATTGTTGAACACTGCCTGATAATGCGGAGGAAGCGAGAAACCTTGACCTTCATGAAGCGTGACGATGAGGATGCCGGGTTTGGTAGGGGCCGCAGGAGGAGAAACCAGAGCTTCCGATGCAGCTGCCACAGACATAGGTCAGATTGATAATGACACAGTACACTGTCATTCAGGGCTCACCTATCCCATTGGCAGATGTAACACTTTGAGTTGTTGGTGTCGTTGCTCCACTAGTAATTTCAGGAACTGAAGGTGGATCGTCTGACTTAAGGGTAGAGGTCGATGAAGAGCGGCCAAAGCCACTTGTCAGAGGTGCAAGATGAGTCTCCTTGAGCTCTACACAGAAGTATCAGCTGGATAGACGAGGTAGATATCTAAAAAAAATGCAATGGAGAATAAGCTCAAGAAAACATACTCTTTGTGAGTTTCCAGGACATCGCGCGCTCAGTTTGATCTTGATTGAGCTACAATCAAAAAAAATCAAAGTGAAACAAGTGAAAGGCCTGCACAAGGTATACCTGAATGTGTTTTGCTGCAGATTCACTGGGCTTCACAGAATTTCCTGTGTTCGCGAAACAAAAGTGAAAGGGTCTAGAAGGAACTTCCACCCAGATGTGCAGTGCTTGATAAGGTTGGCGAAAGGCTGACACCTGAGTCTTAGAGAAGCACCAAGTGGTCAGTGGGGAGTCTCTGTACTTTGGTTTGCGAATTGCAATATCTGTGCTCACGATTTCCTTTTCTTCCCCTGTGTTTCGAGACAACAGCGGCAACAGCGGCAGTGAAGGCGGTGCACAGCGGACGTGGGGTTACCTGGGGCCAACGCCACTACTATCGGAAGTGGCTTAACGCTAACCTTGCCACGCACAGAAGCTACGCACGGTCTCGATTAACGCGCTATCAAGGAGGAGCCTTTCTTGGCCGAGATGCCGGGCGATCATGAAGCCTTCCAACTTCAACAATCCAGCGCATCTGCGCAATACGCTCCAGACCCCATCTCAACTTCTCAGAGTGGAAAGAGGACATCGCAACCAAGAAGAGCGCGAAGACCCATACGATATACCCAATTCTTCGAATCCTTCGACGAAGACGCAGAAGAAGAACGAAGCCTGAGGGGCGACTCCAAGGCTTGGCAGTCTACAGACTCCGAGGCTGAAGAGGATGCTCGCATTGAACGCAGCATGGGTGTTATAAGGAAGAATGCGGCATCTCGGGGTAGTGAAGGGGGAACCAAGTATCATTGTGATGTGTACGTGTATGAATATCCTCATTCATGGTCGCGCTAACACCTCCACAGCTGCAGCGCAGACATCACCGCAACAGTAAGTTGATGCACCGTCCATGCACAAACCAAGAGGCAATGCAGGACATTGGACAGGGCTATATTAATCAACTGATTAGGTGCGCATTTCGTGTGCTGAGTCTAGCTGCGTTGACTACGATCTTTGCGTCCAGTGTTTCGCGAATGGCGAAACGAGCAACAACCATGATCCAAGGACCCATAGATACTGTGTGATCGAGCAAAACTCTATTCCTATTTACGCCGAAGACTGGGGCGCCGATGAAGAGTTACTACTCCTGGAAGGCGCGGAGAAATATGGTTTGGGGTCCTGGGCTGACATCTCCGAACATATTGGAGGCTACCGTGGCAAAGACGAGGTGCGGGATCACTATATCAATACCTATGTCAACAGTAGTCTATTCCCACTGCCCGAGCTTGCAGACCCCAAGGACATAAGGCTCTTTGAGAAGATACCGAAAGATGTATTTCAAGCTCGCAAGAAGCGACGGATTGAGGAGCGGAAAGAGGCTGCCAAATCGGCACCACCTGCCACACCCAAGCAGAAACCAACAGCTTCCGTCCCGTCCTGCCATGAGGTACAAGGTTTCATGCCTGGTCGCCTCGAGTTCGAGACAGAATTCGCCAATGACGCTGAAGAAGCGGTTCAGCACATGCAGTTTGAGCCGGGAGACGGCCTAGATCCCGTGACGGGCGAAATGGATGAGGAGACGACATTGAAAATGACAGTTTTTGACATTTACAACTCACGTCTCATGGCCCGGATGGAGCGGAAGAGGATAATTTTTGAGCACAACCTATTAGAGTATAAGAAAAACAGCCTCATCGATAAGAAAAGAACTAAGGAGGAGCGCGATCTCCTCAATAAGGCCAAGCCTTTTGCGAGGATGATGAACCACGAAGACTTTGAAAGCTTCACAAAAGACCTCGCACTCGAGCAAAACCTGCGAACCGCGATTCAGCAGCTACAAGAATGGAAGACCATGGGTATTAGCGATCTCAAGCATGGCGAAAAGTACGAGACCGAGAAGCAGAATCGAGCTCAGCGTGCTCAGCCTCAGGGACAGTTTGATCGATTAGCCTCATCCATACAGAAGAAATCAAACCAGCCTCAAGCAGACACAATCACTGAAGTATCCAAGCTGACCGGACCAGAATTGCCGCATCGTTTCCAAAAGAAATCGAAAACAGTGCCTCAGTTCACTGATACTAAGCCTCCTGTGCTAAACGACTTCGACAAGATGTTCGCAGAAGCCTCCAATGGAGCCCTTTCTCCGCCAGTGCAGAAGCCGAAGATGCGGTACGTGGTACAGCCGCTGAATGGGACAACACCCTGGAAGCTGGAAGAAGAAAGACCAGCACCGCCAGATTTCCAATTGCTGAGCGAGGAGGAGATTCAGCTTTGCAATGCACTTCATATACGGCCAAAATCATATATCATTATCAAGGAAGCATTGCTCCGCGAGGCAATGAAGCAAGGAGGCTTCTTGAAGAAGAAAGAGGCGAGGAGTATTTGCAGGGTAAGCAGCCTTTTCGGACCGTGCTAAAAATGAGTTGACGCTTTATCAGATCGATGTCAACAAGGCCAATCGCGTCTTTGACTTCATGATTCACAGTGGCTGGATCACAAAAGCATAGCCTGAATTACTCGTTCCAGGAGCAGTAAGGATTTGCATATAACGAGTTTATACACCCTGGCTCTAAGGTCCCTCGAGCGGGTATGGTAATCCAGGCATAGTTGCTAGTGTATCGTTATGGCGTCGATACCATAGATTGTGGTTGCATATTACGCGACATCGTGGAGGCTGGAGTACGTTACACAAATCTAGCTAGCAAGACACAATTATGCGCAATGCAACACATGCATAAAGTTTCGTTCCGTCATATGCTCTTGATGTGTACTACGTATGCTTTATGAATGTGGCTAAACGACAAACGAGCAGCGGGAGCGAAGCTAGTCCTTACTGTACTACGTAAGTATTTACTGTAGCGCTTGCTATTCAGACTGTGGCGGTGCGGCTACGTAATGTCTACCACGAATTTTGCCCCACGCTGAAGACACCAACACAGGCATCCCTTGGGAAGCACCTACCAACACACATACACACAAAAGCAAGAACTCTCTCTCTGCATTACTCAACATTACCTCCTCATTCACACAACTATCAAGGGGACATCTCCGACTCCAACATTTTGAGCATTCGTCGTACTACAGCCATCATGTCGACTACAGTCCACGTGCAAGGGATATCCTCCCAGACAAGCGAGAAAGAAGTCAGAGACTTTTTCAGCTTCTGGTAAGTAGACTCTAGTCTATGATATCCTTTTGAGCCGGGTCCTGACATATGCAATAGTGGAAAGATCACGTCCCTCTCGGTGACCCCATCTTCGGACGCTGCTGATGCACCCAAATCCGCAACTGTGACCTTCGAGAAGGAGACGTAAGAAGCCCCAATATTCTCATTCGAGGTAACAGTTCTAATAACTTTGGTCAGCGCTGCCAAAACTGCTCTCCTCCTAGACAACACCCAACTTGGCCCTTCCCAAGTCCATGTTAGCTCGGCTTCTAGCATTGATGACATCGCTTCCAAAGCGCCTCAGTCTCCTACCACGGGGAAAGACGGCGATGGCCATGACATCGCGCAAGAAGACAAACCTCGTTCCCGCATCATTGCAGAGTATCTAGCTCATGGCTACACAATCTCTGACTCGGCTATCCACAAGGCGATTGCTCTTGACAACAAGCATGGAATTAGCGCCCGGTTCACAAATGCCCTTACTCAGTTCGACCAGAAGTACAAGGCGACTGATAAGGCTAAGAGTGTTGATGCTTCGTATGGCGTCACAGATAGAGCTTTGCAGGGCTGGCGTGGATTGAGCTCTTACTTTGAGAAGGCTCTAGACACCCCAACTGGCCAGAGAGTTCGATCTTTCTACGTACAAGGTGACAAGCAGGTTCGGGATATCCACGCCGAGGCTAGGAGACTAGCGAATCTCAAAGCTGGCAAGAATGAGCCCGAGACTGTTGCAGGTACCGACAAGACTGTCTGCAACTGTGGTGCAGACACTGGAGAGTGTCCGTGTGAGCCAGAAAAGTGTGCCTGCGCCAATTGTGGCAAGGCCAGCAAGTCAGCACAGGAGGAGGTCGAGAAGGCCTTAGGTGGTGTCAATCCTTCTGCTACCAAAAGTGGTTGAAGAATGCCCATTTGAGACTGGTAAATCACGGATGTATGAATGTGGACGATTGGTTGTAGGCTGAGTCAGGCGTTGAGGTACGGACGAGCAAAAGCAGTACTTTGTGGTTCGGGTCATGAGCAGTGGGAGGTTCTTCCTTTACTTCAAGCCTCTCTACTTCTTTAGCAGCCGGTAGCTAGGTAGCTAGGTAGCTAGGAAATGCGAAAGCGCAGTTCACAGAATCACATCAATCGAGGCCTCCTTGGCCAGATCATCATTGCATAGAGAGAAACGTGAATTAATCTGCTCTCAAGTCTTCGAAATAGACTGCTAACTCTGGATGATTTTCTCTGCCAAAGCCCTACTAGACTCTCAGGCCGACCGTCTCAACTGAAAAACCGTGGCTAGATGTCATGGATCATCCAGCGTGTTCTTCACTCAAGCCAACCAGGAGCCACAAAGGCGGAGGTTCTTCGTATAATCAAACCGCAATATCTCCTTTCAAACTTGATATCAGGCTTGTCTGTCCCAGATTGTGGTACTTACTGTGTAACTTCACCCATACATCCCATTCCTCACTGCAGCAGGTAAGTGTTGGCTCCTTGGTGAGTTTTGGCTCGTGATGTCGAGTACTAGTAGTACTAGTAGTATGATGCATGGTTCCACACATGGGACCAAGTACAGTAAGTACATGGGATCGTCACTGTAACAATATGCAGATATTCTGGCACAGAAAACTCAATCTCTTCATGTCATGTCATGTCACAGGGTTTATGATATCCTACGGGCGGTGAAAGTGAAACTCTAAATGAACCATCCCACTTCCCATTCCCCGGTAATGCATGCTCGTTTCGATGTGATGTTCTGACAAACACGAGGTTGTAGTATTTGGTCGCAGCGCATGTCTGGGCTTTTGTTTCGTGTTGAGAGGGATTGGGGGAACTGCCCGGCCCACGTTTCGTGTTAAGGTGAGGCTCACTCAGCGAAATATACCAGTTAGGAGGTGGGACCACAGATGTTCAGCTACGCCCCCGAGTTTCTGGAGATCTTTGGGAGTCATACAGGTTTGGGGAGTTTGGAAAGTTTGGGTTTTCTGTTGTATTTCAGTCTTAAAAAATAGCCGACTATTTAATGGATAGATCTTGAGGCGGTATATGCCTGGCTGAGATTTTGCCAATTCACTCAGATCAATTTACATAGTCAGATAGACAAGATGTGTGGCCAGGACCGACATCAACCAACCCAGAACTATTTAGCCTCCACGTCTAAGGCCCTCGAAGCAGGTTCCCATCCCTACAACTCTTTACTCCACACATCCACGGGATCTTCCTCCTCCTCCTCTTCTTTCGCCTCGTCTTCGACATCATCACAAACACCCTCCATAGCTAAGAAGAAGCGAAAATGGTACAAGCCGAAACTGAGGCTAAAACTCCACGCAGACTGGATGTGGGTTGGATTTATCAGTGCCGGAAACACGACGCCGACGGGTCAGTGTCGTTTTCAGAACGGAGGTCAAGAAGATGATGAGGAATGGGAGCAGTTGCCTGCTTATACGCCGCCCGAAGAGGGTGGGCGTGGTCTGGTAGGGAGGTTTGATGGAAATAGTAGAAACGAGCAGGATGAATGGCTTGTTGAGCCGCCGAGCACTGGGCCGAATCAAGCGAGGAGGAACGAGTTCGGTTTAGAGCCGCCAGAATATCAATAGAATGTTCTGAGAGAGGCATGTGCAAGCTTAAACGAGCTGATGATGGCGCCCACTCATGATATGCCCACAACGAATTTGTTTTGAGCGAGCGCGTTGATCAACATCTGTTGGAGTCTGCACCATGCATGGCGGAATCATGTCTCTAAAAACAATATAGACGAGTACTGGCGAGCCTCGACGCTTCTTCAAATGCTTGGACCAGAGGATGCACGCTGTTCCTTTCAGCCTAATCTCAAGTTGCCCTGTGCTCTAGCAGAAGTTGTCAGCCCTCTGACGAATTGTAAATCTCGTAAACTGTTACTATTTTTCCTCAAAACTCGTTGTCATGCCGTGATGCCTAGGCCTCGATGAAAGAACAATTAATTAGTTGTTGATGGACGTTGGTCCTATGTCTGTCGAGTATTCAGTGTAGGAGTGCTTTCTCTCCGTTATCCAGCTTCCAAGCTCATGCAGTAAAATTTGTTCTCTAAAAGCAGAACGATTTGTTGCCTTCAGTCGTCCCAGATGTCTTTCACATAGTTCTCCGTTAATCTCTCATCCGCTCCATATTTTGCCTGCCACATATTGAAACCCCCAACCAATATACAGATATCCTGGGTCTTCTTCTCAGCATCCCCACCAAGCTTTCCAGCTAGCCCCTCTCGTTCCCTTGCATATCTGAGAGCGGCGCTTGGTCCTCTCTGCTGACTTAATGCACAATGAAAGACGACCCGGTCTTTGTCTTTCAGGGAGCGCAATAACTCAGGTATTCGGTAATCAAGCGTGTTGCTTGGTACCCAGGTAGAACCTTTTATATTGCCACCAATGTGGTCGGAGTCGCGCACATCAATGATGGCAAGATTTGGTGGAGGGGAGGAGAGGAGCAGTTCAGCGAGGGTTTCGGGCGACATGTGGGTAAGTGATGAGATTGTAATGAGTGACATAGCGTACTGTCTGTTCCTTAGCAGGTTTAGTGTTCTTCCACTGTTAGACAAAAAGGAACACGAGGACGGAAGAACCATGATATTCAAGTTCAATTCAAGCCAAGTTCAAGCCCAAGTTGGGGAAATGCCATTGGGCTCTTGGCGCCGCGCCGATTTCTACCTTGAAGCTACAGGTCAATGATCCACAAAACCCTCCAACAATCAGTTACCTGGCTCATTCTGTTGTTTCTCGTGGTGTAACCGATGGTATTGATGGAGGCCCTTCAACCTATGAGATGCTGCTCGCGGTGGATCATTACGATACATAGTACTCGACCTCATTCCCTTTCTTATTCTTATTCTTCTATACATCCACATGGACGACGGAAACACCTTGTAGCACCTACGTCAATACGACCACTGAGCACTTCCCCTCCACACCCAGACGAACAAAGTACATCATCGCCTCCAGCACAATCCTCATGGCCATCACCACAAGCCAGCACAGCACCGCCCCGGAGCGCATGGTCCGACATATTCCAACGCCAACGCCCGTCCACACCAACCTCTACTGCCGACATAGCTGCGTTGAAGACAAAACTCAATAGCTCAATGAACTTGCTGGATATTGTCGATCCGCATTCGGCACGCCCAAGAACTGCCACCCCAAGCCCCTCCTCCTACGGGTACGGGATGACCTACCAAATCTCGAGAGGGATTGACCGTTTGGACGCCAAAAACGCACATGATGCTCTCGAAGCAGTGCATCTGCGGCTGAACCCGATGTTGGGACGCACGTTAGCTGTCGACGCGCCAACTGGTTTTGATTTGCAGTCTGCGTTTCGCGCGTTGGAGACACGTTGTACTCGGAACTCGGTAAGGAAAGATCACCAAGCGCAGCGATTTCATGTCAGGAGGGGCCAGGCGAAGAAGGAGTTGAAGAGTAAACGATGGAGGACGCTATTTAAAGAAGGGTTCTTGAGGGAGACGGGCCGCATCAGGAGAATGAGGAGCCAGGGTTGGTAGGGGTGCGAGCGCAGATGTGTTGGGCTGTGGCCAGACACCAATCGGAGAGACATATAAGGAAGAAGGCGTTTGAGAGTTCATGTATAGCGTGTGCCACGCTCTAGCAGAAGAAGTAGATACCAGAGGGATGTTCACTGGGCACACCATGAGTACAGATGCCTGTAGAGGTTCATGCTTCCTTCTCACACTCACACTTTAGGTACACCCGGGATTTGTCTCACTCCATCTCACAACAGATTGGCTAGCCTGTAAAGCTTTCAGTCATCTGCTTTCATTATTTTCTGGTTCTGACGCGCCGAGCTCCCCACGCCCTACAAGCCTTCAGACTATGGAATCCAACACAGGGGATCCTTCGTAACAGCTTCATGACCAGGACGATCAGGAGCCCTGCCTGGACGTCACGACCAAAAGCCTCGTATCATAACACATTAGGCCTCAAACGTCGCAAGGCCTTACTAAAGTGCCTGCGGCTGAGCAGCGCAGTGATAGCCATTTCAGACCACACCCACTACTTCATTATCGGAGTGTTAGAACGGCTTCTGGCGTTATCGGTGCTACACCAACCAACAACAAGTCTCAGTAAAGGAAAAGCGCTCCTGCTCATGCGTTGGCTAGATCCTGCTGCCATCATGTCGCAAAGGTAGCCCTTTGTAAAGGACGTCCAAGGTCGATGACGCGACTGTGTGTCCATAAGTATACCAATCAATCCCTCTTCCCAGGTCCATAACCTCCATACCCACCGTACCCGCCATATCCCGAATGACCATTCATTCCCATAGTGCCTCTAATTCCGATGGGCGGTAGGCCATTCATACTCCTGCCACTTTTCCGCCTCTCCCATATCATCATGCCCATTGCGCCAAGTCCGGCACTAGCAGCCAGCGCGAAGAAGCTGAGTAGTATAAAGCCAACGCCATGGTCCTTGACGCCAACGATCGGTCTACCAACCATGCCTGGGAGGACGCTTCCATCTATCCAGCCGACATTGAAGGCGAATGTTAGGGGCTCGGTCCGAAGGACCTTTGTTCCCTCACTTGGCAGAGAGGGATCGGTAAGGTTTGGCAGGGAGTAGGCAGTCGAGGCGATGAGATGTGACGAGGGTGCGTCTTCCTCACCAACGCTGGTGTGGAAAAGCACATTGATGCCAGTGTGTAAATGCAGGTGGGATAGTTGTAAGGTACCCTGGAGTGCGATGGTCAAGGGCGTCCATGCTTCACTTGGACCCGTCCCAACGAATCCACTACCTTCCATCCGCGCTGAAGGTTCGTAGGTGTGAACTGTGGCTACCTGCTTTGCGAGAGGATATGATGGTACACGACATGTAAGTGGGACATCGCTATGTACAAAGAATTCGAGTAGGTGATACAGTTCGTCTTCGAGGGAATCTATGGTGCAGGTGAGTGTGGTGGGCGTGGCATATGGGAAGGCCAGAGGTAGATCTGTCTCGTTGCACGTAGGGAAGGGAATGTACTGCAAATTGCCATGCGGGTCCGTGATCTAGAGAGCGCGCCCGAGTCAGTGGGACAGGTCGAGGAGATATACTCATGGCGTAAAAAGCGTGAAAAGGGCTACTCGTACATGTTCTCCAGTATCACTGATCCATTACGATTAGCTTGAGCATTCATCCCGGGTAACTAAGGACTAGACGTACATTGTCCTGTTCAGACAACTGACCAGCACCAAATCACCCTTCGTATATCCTTTCTTGCTGTCAACCACATTTCCTAGGGTTCTCTCGTCGGCGGCAGCGTCTACGCCCACCAACAAAGTGAGGCAGAAGGTGAGCAGCGCCTGGACCAGGAGCGTAACGGACCTGGTCTTTGGTGGTTGCATCACGAGCAGTATGGACAATTGGTAATATCATGTCTTCTAGTTCATGAATCAGTCCGTTGTGGCGGCGCGAAAGAAGAATCTATTAGAGTCCTCCGACTGGCCTGCGCATGGCACACGCTTGGCATACGCTTGGCATTATTAGCGTGTATAACGTTGAGATAAAATTATAATGCTGTCGTTATAATAAATGAAAACATTAATAGATTATAATTTGTGACGCAAACAATATAACTTTAGCAGTATTTACACTAGAACGAATGACAATCAGGCCAAAATACTCTGTACAGGTTCTTATCCCAGACATTGTCTGCTTAGTCAACGACTAGCCTATTGTGAGCATGGCGTGTGTGGCGCAGCGCAGTAAGCCCCATCTGGGGGACCGAGGACTACTGCGTATTGATCAGGTTTCATACACGTAATGTCTGCGTTTCGCCTGCTTCTAATTTCGCTGTACTCCGTACGGCATAGCTAATTGTACTAATTAGTACATAGATCTACGCTCTCTACCCCCTACTAGCTATCGAACAATTTGCTTTCTACACACTCTGCACAGCAGGTTGACACGATGCATATCAGCATCAAAGCTTCGGGTATGATTTTTACTTTTGTTTCAAAGACCTCAAACTCACTTCTAGCACTCATTTGATGGAAAGGCGACACTGGTTTAGAGACAATTCGTTGCCACCGCACGCAGTTTTGCACCGTGTAGCTCATTCGCTCATCAACACTCTATCTCCTGGGAAAACCCCTTCACATCCTTTCTTAAGGCTTTTACTGCAACGTTCATAATCCGTAATTCCCCCTCCCATCTAGTCCCCTTTCCTCCTCGTCAGATCCTTCTTTTGCCTTCTTCAGTCTCGCTTCTTTGCCTTTAGCTTGTCCGGCTTCTGAGCTCTCTGATCTGCAGCATCACGTTGTGCTAGTGCTTGTTAGCTTCTACCTGGCTCTGCAATCGATTTGAGGCGAATTGGGATTGTGCGCACCAGATGATAGGGTCATAAAAATATGATTGTAGCGTTTTTTGGTGTATTAGATCTGTGGGTGATGAAAGAGTCAGCAAGAAAGAGGCTGGAAGCAGATCTACGCATTGAAAGGGTGATTATGAGCTGCTAAGTTTATCTTTAGGACAATGATTGGAAAACAGCAAGTCTCCCATGAGTATTAGCAACCTGTAGACAATACCACTCCTCCGATTCCTCCAGAGAAAGAGATTAAACCTCCACTAGCTAGTTGATGAATGCTTACTTTGGGCCCACGATGCGCTTGATTCTGACAAAATTGACCTCGTGAAAGCTGGAAATCCAGCTGATCGGTGTGACAGAGTGTAACAAGGATCTTATTGACAGCTGTACAAAATCTTTCTTATTTCGCCCTCGCACCCAGCAACGGTTTGTTCCTTATCCCACGATTTGCCTTCAGCATCACCAATTCGCCTCAAGCCCGGCCGCGTTATTAGCTCCACAGACTTATCCTGCTTGCCGGGACCCTCCTTGACCTCTTCTATTGTTTTCAGATCTTTCATGGCCACTAAAAGCCTACATCTTTGCGTGCCGAAAACGACCCACATGTTCGCAGCCTTTTCTGCGATCTTTTTGATGTCCTGCTCGGTCTTCTCATCAATCTTCGACACCATCATGAACGCCTCTCCCAATCTCTCACGAATAATCATCATGGAAGATTGGAAGCCCTCCCGCAGCTTTGTCCGAGGATCATATTCCGAGGTGAGATTTCTCAGCGCTTCTTGGCCCTGGCTCATAGTCTCGTATCTCCATCGTTCTGCGTCGAAACTTGGTTGCGGCCAAGTATACAAGTCATTATCCGTCTTAGGGTCTAAAAGGTTGGAGATTAGCTTCCGTTCAAATCGCTTTGATCAAGCGGAGTCAAAGGTACCCTACCTGCACCGAAGGCCTTGTTCCACTGGAACTCTAACACGGTGCCTTCATTTCTGAAGACTCTGAAAGGACTGCAGAAAACGTTTTCGAAGAGAGCATTCCATATTGTGTCTTGCAAAATCTGCTTCTGGAGCCGTTTCGGGTTGTCTGAAAGTTGTCCTTGCAAATTATTCGTCCAAGGTGATTCATTCAAGGTCCACTTGAGTCGAGCCAAGGCATCCACTTCGCCCACCAAGTCGGAAAACATGGATTTAAGCTCACCGTCTGTAATTGGCGAAAAGTTATCCCGGGCAATTAAGGCCTTGTTCCTCGATTGAATACACTTTTGCAGCCGCTCTTGCTCCTGGTCGTGCGCTTGCTTGAGTCTGGATTCGAGGGCCTTGGATTGTTCCCTTAGTTCATTTTGCTTTGTTTTATAGATTTCTTCAAGCTTCATCTTTTCGAAGATGAAAGCTTTTTCCTGTTCTTCTGCATACATCTCAAGAGATTGTATCTTTCCTTGTAGACTTTGCACTTTAACTTCATGTTCTTTACTCACTCGTCGCTCTTCCCTCCTTTGTTCATCTTGCTTTGTTCTATGGATCTTTTCAAGCTTCATCTTTTCGAAGATGAAAGCTTTTTCCTGTTCTTCTGCACACATCTCAAGGGATTGTATCTTTCTTTGTAGACTTTGCACTTTAACCTTGTGTTCGTTACCCACTCGTTGCTCTTCCCTCCTTTGTTCATCTTGCTTTGTTCTATGGATCTTTTCAAGCTTCATCTTTTCGAAGATGAAAGCTTTTTCCTGTTCTTCTGCACACATCTCAAGGGATTGTATCTTTCTTTGTAGGCCTTGCACTTTAACCTTATGTTCGTTACCCACTCGTTGCTCTTCCCTCCTTAGTTCATCTTGCTTTGTTTTATGGATCTTTTCAAGCTCTATCTTTTCGAAGATGAAAGCTTTTCTCTGTTCTTCTGCACGCATCTCAAGGGATTCTATCTCTCTTTGTAGACCCTGCACTTTAACTTCATGTTCTTCACTCACTCTCTGCTCTTCCTTCTCATATCTTTTCTTCAGATCAATAATCTGGTTTGCGCAGCATGTTTGCATTTCAGGCTCCCTTCGTGGCTGCACCTGTAGGTCGTGTTCTTCTCTGATATGAGTGGAATATTGTGCCGCTTGATCTCTCCATTCTGCCTTCGGTTTTTGTGCTTCTTGGTTCATGGTTCCAGGCTTGACTCTTTCTTTCTTCAGATCCCCAACTTCTTGTTTTAGGACGAGATGGGCATTTACTAGATGCGACACCTGGTCCGACACGCTGGAACCCTGCTCACTGAGACACTCCAGGTCGATCACGCATCTAATACTGGCAGCAATGCTAGATAACTCTTCGGCCTCCGGCGAGCGATGGCTGCGATGGCGGTCCCCCGAAATAGGTTCTGTGACCTTTGCAGCTTTTTTCTTTGGGTGATTTCTTCCCCAGTGAAACTTGTTAAGATCAGGCATGTTGTTGGGCAAGATTTCGCAACAGGGTCAGGATACACCAGTTGGAAAGAGCGCCGTCTGGAGAGCACTTGGACGATTCAGCCTGCCGAGGAATTAGTGAAGGTGACAAACAGCAAGTTTATCGCACCACTGAAAGGGCCACTCGGATTGGTAGGCTGATCCATACCATTTCTGTTTCGTCCTCGGGTTGTTACTACTACGTACGGATATATGCAAGCCACCAAAATGCTAACAGCGCCCCGTCAGCTTTCTTGGCATGCATCGTAATCTACAATAGTAATGGCCACATTCATTAGCGCAAAGTTCCCTCCAACAGGGCCTTAATGCCGAGTATTGATCCCCCAGGGTTGTAGATGGCACAACCGTGCGAGGCATCGTGTGCTAATCGGATCACAACGTTATGAGTGACGAGGCTGGAAACACCACCAAAATTTATCTTTTGAGTCCATGGGTTCACCTTCTCTTCAACCAGCGGTACAATGAACAAAGCTCCTTCACTCGATAAAGAATCGTCTTCACAGCCTCCATCCAAAGCTCGGCCAATATGGTCAACATCCAAAACAGCAAGTACCAATTGTCGGACCAGTAAGCGTCTTGGGGATAATTTGTCAGACATTTCCGACACCAACAGTAGCACGACCATTTCTGCAGACCCTGGCCAACATCGAATGGTTGTGGCAATTGACTATGGAACTACGTTTTCTGGTAAGTATGAATAGACCTTAGGAAAGCATTCTGTCCTTAAGAGCCTAGAAGTTATTCTAATTTTCAAACAGGAATAGGATATGCTATCCACGATAACAGCCGTCCGGAGCTCGCCAACATCCGCATGGTAACGAATTGGGGAGTGAACATGGATAATGACGTGAAAATCCCAAGCGTTATATCATACTCCCCATGTACCGATGCGGATGAACAGCAATTTGGCGCGAGCCTCAGTCCAGACGCAGTAGCAATGGTCAATACCAAACTTGAGCTCGAAGCACAAGACACACGGTTAGACGAGCTCGACCTGATCATACAAGTATTGGAAGGAACGAAGGACTTGAATTTCGAACATGTCAAACGTGCCCAAGGTTACCCAGGTTATACTTGGAAGGCGCCAGAGGATATTGTGACAGATTATCTCACGAAGGCATTTGAGCACTTCGAAAGAGCTACCGACTACTTGACCGAAATCAAGACCAGCGTTCCCGTGGATATCATCGTTACCGTACCTGTGGTATGCTGTCTGAACCTTCTTATTGATCGAGTTGCAAGCTCACTTCGACATAGAGATGGTCTTATAAAGCAAAGAACTCTACATTCAGGGCCATAAGAAGTGCGGGGTTCAACGAATTTACTTTCCCCAACTTAGGGAAATACTATCTTGTGATTGAGCCAGAAGCCGCTGCCCTGTATACAGCACGGTTTCTGAAAGAGCAGGAAGCGGAATCACTCAAGGTAATCCGATTGGTCAGATGAATAGTGTTCTCACTAAGCGCAAGATAGGAAGGGGAGTGTTTCGTGCTCTGTGACGCTGGCGGCGGCACAGTTGTAGGTCCTTGCTAAGATGTGGAATCATATATCGGGGTCAATTAATGGAATTTAGGATGTTATCTCGTACAAAGTGAAGCAAGTTGAGCCCAGCCTTCAGTTGGAGCAAATCACGATACCTACAGGTACGTATCGCTTTTCTTAGAGGCGAGGAACTAGCTTGAGATTTCTGGCTGAATCGTCTTCAAGGCGCAAAATGTGGCTCTAGCTTCATAAATGCGAAGTTTAAGGAATGGCTTCGTGGGGTACTTGGGGAAGACAAATATAATGTTCTGGATTTTCAAAGTGAGGGTGAAAAGATAAGTGCACTTACAATGGAGGGAGGCAAGATGAGACTCATTATGCGGGAGTTCGAAAGCCACAAAAAGAGATTCAAGGGAACATCTACCGAGATGATATTGGAATTACCGGATCCTCTATACAAAGTTAACATTCCGGGAAAGATCGAGCAGGGTGACCTTACTATTACTAAGTAAGATCTTGTGTTTGTTGATGTGTTTCACAGCTAAAGCATTTTAGTGGTGACATGCGATACTTTTTTGACGATTGCATCAACGGAGTCATAGAATTGATCCAAAGCCAAATTACACAGGTTGAAAGCAAGAGGCGTCGTGTTAAGGTCAGGGTGTCAGAGGGTGTTATGAGACACAGATAACAATTATCACAGACAATTCTCTTGATCGGCGGTTTTAGCGAGTCCGCGTTCCTGCAGGAAGAACTGAGTTTTTCTTTGAAGCTGCGGAAAGTCAAGCTCCGCAGGCCGCAAACCTCGTATGTCTGTCTCTTTAGTGTGCGCTGAAGGGGATACTGATCCACGTCTTTTATAGATGGTCTGCCGTCGTTCGAGGCGCAGTACTTTATGGGATGGATGTAGCCAACCGCAAGAATCAAATCCAGATGATACCGTGCCCCAAGAGCTACGGGCTCGTACTGAGCCGCACATTTTCGAAAAGGATGCACGACGCCAGGGACATATATACGGACGAGCTCACCAAAAAATCCATGGTGAAAGATCAATTTGACTGGTTTATCCTGAAGGGTGACCTACTGCCGGCGATCGAGAGTCGCACAATCGAAAGAGACCTAGAGTACAACTTTCCGGAGAACACTCGAAAAGTTTGTAGCTTCCCTATATACGAGTATCAGGATGATGACCTCCCTGATCGATATGAAACCGCCCAAGAAGGTTTGCTTGGGAATTTCCTCTCTCGGTGCAAGGTACTGACCTGTAGATCACAGAAGTCAACCAGGTTGGCGAGCTCGCCGCAGACTTGTCGCATATTGCAATTGAAGAATTCGAAAGACACCAGAGCCAGGGAACTGGTATGTCCTACTACAGGGTACCTCTTACGTGCAAGTTCATCATCCTGAAAACCTTGATGAGATGTCAACTTTGGTGGAATGAGCAATTGATGCATGAGCTCGAGTTGCAACTGATACCTGAAACAGCGCCGTGTACATAGGTACGTGTACATAGGTACGTGTACATAGGTACAAGTAGTCCATACTATTCTTACGTACTATGTATAGCAGTATTAGGAACAATCAGCGTCTTCGAAGCTGATTTGGCTTGGTACTACATTAGTGGTGTGCTTCTCAAGGTTTCGATTGCCTTCTCTGTTGCCTGACCCACATTCGCGCAAGCCGATAATATTACTAGTCACAGAGATCTCGGGGCTGGATTCTCCAGCCTTGTCACAAAATCGCAAATCCCATCCGATGCGTCCCGATCCTCCTGCCTTGCTGCCCAAGTCCTAAGGCTCTGGACCACTATTCGGAAATCGACGATTTGTACCATAAGCCATGGCAGCGCGTAATGACACCTGGATGAAGGCGACTGGCTAATTCACCAGGAGCCCGGTACTTCCCAAGGCGAATGAGCCGCCTCACTTACTGAACTGACATGTCACTTGCTACCTGCTAGCTGTTTCGCTTGGCTGCATCTCCGGTCAACATTCTGGTAAATGCTCGGTGGTATTATCGTGCTATTGGGGCACGCCACTATGCACATCCCACGTTTGTTTGGCCATTCATTGGGGTGGTGGAAGCGCCTCTTCGCTTCCATTTTGCACAGCTTTTCATTCTGTGTAATACTTCTGGCTTGGTGTGATGAGGCTCGGAAGACCGCCTCTAACTCTGATCTTTTCATGAATGTGGAGAGGTCAGCAATACGCGATTAGGATACAGCACCAAATAGCACGCTACCTAAGAAATGGTGTTCTTCAGCAAAACCAAGAAGAGACTGCAAGAGGAATTGCAGGAGCGGCAGAGGCTGCAGAAGGAGCTCGAAGACCGAGAATTTCGGGAGCAGCAGAGGCTGCAGAAGGAGTTCGAAGACCGAAAAGTTCGGGATCAGAAGCTGCAGAAGGAGTTCGAGAGACAAGAGTCGCAGAGGCGGCAGAGACTGTTGGATGATATTGAAAAACAAAGATTGCAGGAGCGGCAGAGGCAGCAGTATGACCTCGAAAAAAAAGAGCGCACAGAGCAACTCCGAATTCAGGAGGAATCTCATCGCCAAGAGATGGCACTAGCCAAGCAGAAACTGGAAACCACGCGACGTGCTCTCGAAGAGCGCGAAAGACAGGAAGGAGAGCGCCAGCGCATTGAACAGGAGAAGCAAGAGATTGAAGTAAAAAGACTAGAGCGAGAGGCACAAAAGCGTCAGGAAAAGCAAAAGATGATAAAGGAAGCATCGCCGGAGACAATTCGCAGCCTACGGGAACTTATTCGCGAGAAGTACCATCTGGATGTTGAGATATGGGGCCTTCGTGGAGCTAGGCGACCTGATCGCTGGCTCGTGAGGCAGAAGATGGAGAAGGCGGATGCTGTGCTGCAGAAGATTATGGCTATGGTTGGGGTGTGGGAAGATAACGGGGATGGTTCGTGGGATCCGGTGGAGTGGGGGCGGGTTCAAGACATTCGCAGAAGGCTCCAGAATCGTGGCATACGTATCTGGGCAGAAAGCCCGCTTTGGATCGAAGCGGGTGAGAGTGGTGGTCTCCAGCATGGAACGAGGTGAAAACTTTGACTGTTTACTTTTCCGTGTTAGGCCGAATTCTATCCGCGAAGTTACATATAGTAAATGGTAGCATGTTGCCCAATGTAAAAGATGGGAGATCTCTGGGATGACGGATGAACGGGAGAGGTTTTCGTCTTTCTGTCTGAATGTCTAAATGCCATTATTGAGTTAAATGAAGTTACCGGTCGGATAACACAGATGGCTGTGAAGTTTGGGGCATGCCCACACTTTTCACTCTTACTCTCCCATCTGACACGAAGACAGAGTAGTCTTCCATAGGCAAACCTTCCGAGATAACCTCGTGCATCGACATATACTCAATGTCCAAGAGAGAAGCCACTCTGTCTCTCACTGCCTTCTTTAGACTCCGAATGCCAAGTTCCGGATCATAGTCTTTTACAACAACCTTACAAACGCTGACGTCGGAGCGTATTTTCAGGCGGATGTTACCCAAAAGCTGCTCCTCAGGGCCTGGCTTTGTATTTATGGGCCGCAAAACCTCGTTCGTAAGCTCTAGTAGATACTTGTGAGCCCCAACACATGTTTCAGACCTGGAGAAGGGAAGGAATGGAACGAATGCGGAAATACGACCGGTCAATGGAGGCTAAGGTTTCTTCAGCATGCTGGGTCGAATTCAATGGATGACATCAATGCTTTACTTTGAACACTGACATGAAATCATCTCTCATAGCAGAGGTGAGCTCTTCAAGAAGCTTCTCTCTTTTAGTTGAATTGTCTTCATCAAATATAGCTTCATTTCTATCGCAAAAGTCTATGATTTTCTTGTCGAGGGCATTGGTAGCAAGGATCCAAATTGTCTTCGAACAATTGACCGTCTTTAGATTCCGCCGATCCTGATACTCGCCTTTGGTTGTCAGTATTGTTTTCTTACAAAGCACCATGAGCTCTTTAGTTCTTACCTTTATCAAATGGGATCAGAAGGGCGTTCCAAATATCTGCTGTGGTCTTTTCGAACTCGTCCAAAAAGACGATACATCTACGTCCGTTGTTCGCAGCGAGGAAATTGTTTAGCGGTGCGCCTTCATCAGCTCCCACGTATGGCTTCCTTGGGCCGAACAGCTCAACCTCCCTACTCACGATGGTGCAGTCGCTGATCTGCAGTTCTAAAGAAAGAAGTGCTCCGAGGCGCCGAGCGAGCTCTGTTTTTCCGTGTCCACTCGGTCCGGCGAAGACGAGGACAAGAGGTTGGTCATGGCGCCGCAGCATATAGTGGAGAAAATTCCTGGTAAGTAGATTGGTAGCCGCGCTCTGGCCAATCAAGAAATAAGGTACAGCGAACAACTCAGTAGAGTCGTGACGAGCTGCAACCCATCTTTGTCGTTCGGTAGGCTTGGTCAGCTTTGATGAACGATGTAGGTAGTATCTCTGAGTGATATTGATTGCCTCCGTGAGCAGTTTCTGAATGGAAGGCGGCTGGCACCATAGTGTTTTCTCCGCCTCCCAGGCTTCTTTCCAGCTCGCATCAGGCGGACCTTCGCTCGGAAGTTCCTCATCGAATGGACAATAGAATGGCTTAGGGATTGTAAATCCATCAGCTCCAAGACTCAGAAGCGTTGCTACCGCAGCCGTCGTATCCTGTTCGTTAATCTTGCCGTTGATAATTGCAAAGGCAAGGAGCGGAACTGGAGGGCTACCGTAGGTCGCACCAACATCGCCTCCAAATTTGGCAAACAGTCGAATACTCGCGTCGTTGTTCGCTGCGATAACATAAAACATTGCCGGTATTCCTTCAATAGTATCGTTGATGCTTCTCGAGACTAGCTGAGGATTGGAGTGATTGTAATGGCTCATATAGGTCTTAACGTCCTCATGCGACATACCATTCTGTATTGCTGCAATCAAATCCCTTATCGAGAAAGACGCACATCCGTCGACACCACCTGGTTGAAATGTCACAGGAGGAGTAAGGGAGGGAACCCGGAAATCCCAAATTGAGCTATCTGAGGCTTCTCTTGTAATGCTTTCGCTTTGTGGTTGTTCACCCTCCGCAGTATGGTACGAAGTTGATTCTGGCTTGGACTCCGTTGTCGATACTTGCCCCGCATCCGAGTCTTCTATATTGCTTTGGGATGACATTGGTGTTATCCGCCTCGAATGACTTTGCCCCTCTTCGTCTTCCTCGTTGAGGTTTGTCGAAGGGTGGATATCTGTTGGACTGCAGGACGAATATTCATTATACAGCAGCTTGGAGGTCCCAGGTCCTTCTGACGGTGTTGCAGATGTGTCTAAAATAGGCCCTCTGCCACTTTTAGATTGTGAAGTTGATGATGGGAGTAAAACAGTGGTGGATGATGAAGATGAAGGAATGCTTGGCGATGCGAGGGAAGGACAGGCCGGTTGTGCTGGCTCTGATATATCTCCCTGAAAATTTCGAGATTCGTTAAATTGTAAGGTTTGATTTGGTGTAAACATGTGTCATTGATTCTTCTCAAGTGCAGGGTATGAAGAGAGGTTTGACGCACCGGCTTCTTACCTGCGTAATGTGACTGCAGTAGGCTGATTGCTCTGCTCACGTCGTTCCCGGATCTCTAAATAGATATGTTAGAAGCTTATGTTACACATGGTAATTAAGTGCTTACCTGGAGGTATGTCTTCGCCTGTGTTCCTCGACATCTTGTTGCAGCTATCACATCTCTGATGGCTTCAGGTGAAGGCTCTACAACTTTCCACATTTGGAATTTGAACCATAAGAACGCCTTTTATCAAGAAAGGCGCATAGAAGAGGCGGAGAGCCTACGACATGATCGAGTCGCTCTCAATCGAGCACTACTCGGCTCTCGAAGATTCTCTCCTCCAATAATCCAGCCCAGTCCCTTATACTTTGATAGAATAGCAATTAAATCTGAACCGGTTTATGTGATTTGTTTTCGACACCCCCAATTCAAGATTGCCGCACGACAAGCCGAGAACTGTATGTGGGAGCAGCAGTTACGGCTTCCTTCACGGGAGTTTAGGCTTGAAGAGACTGCAATGGCCGCGTCGTCTGTCCACAGCCTTGGATGCCCAATTGTGGCGATCGGTCCGCTCATTGACGCAGACGGCGCGTACAAGCGCCAGTTGCCTCCTATTAGTAGATCCACCTAGTTCAGTCAGGCAAGAAAGGATGAAGCGGTTGGCAGGCTGTTGATCGAATGATAGCCTGCCACGTTGCAACTATCGCCGTCCTGAGACAAGAATCATGAATAGTCGATCGAATGGAAATGCAGCCTTTCTCGCTGCAGATGGTGCGATGATGGTGGTCACGTGATAGGCGGGTCATTTGATACTAAGTTAGTAGGACGCCTACCCGACCTCTGCCTTGGGGCTCAGTTTCAGCCTTTTCAGTTTGTGAACCAACTTTTCCCCAAATGTTCAAGCCTGACTATGCAGGCTCGTTGTCCAGGGCATTCCCAACTTAGTTCGTGCAAGCTATTCCAGAACCATGGATTACGGGCTGGATGGTAACATGAGGATCAATGTCGCAGAGTCACAACTTCAAATCGATTCTGTGACAGTGGCCACCGAAAACACCGACTTCGATGATTCTCAAATCGGCATGCTGGAACTCGAGATCGAAAATCTAAGTCTTGAACTGGAAGAAGAAAAGAGGAAATCGAGCGGACAGCAAGCCGAATGTGCAAAGCATCTACAAGAACTCGAAGATGCGGACCGGGAGCTCTTCCACTGCCAAACGGCTCTTCAAGAGAGCGAGGGAAAGCTAGCAAACGCCCAAGTAGAAATCAGAGATAAGAATGAGGAATTGACAGATGCAGAAGAGGAGTTGATGCAGTGTAGACAGCGCGTTGGGGAATTGGAACAGCAGATAGAGCATATAACTGAGCGAAATCAGGAAGAAGGTATTCCTAAAGCAAAATAAGCTAGTTCGAGTGCCTGATATGCGTGTCTAGCCCAAATCAATGAAGTCAAGGCGGTTAAACCGGAGAGCGAGCTTGAGGAGTCCCGGAAACAATGCGCACAACAGGGTTCGCTCGGCCAACAACAAACACCTGCCTTGGATCAGATTAATGAATTGCTTCAGGAGACCCTGGAGGAGCAAGCAAGGCTCATGATTCATACCAAAGCGCTCGAAGACCAAGTGGAAACGTTGAGGAGAGAACTTCAAATCGTTCAAAATGAGGCGGCAAACAAGACGGAAGAGATGGATGTCCTCCGCAGTTACCTTCGTGGATCGGGGCAGCGCAAGTCAAAGAGCGAAAGAGACCCTCGAGAAACGGAGACCGAGATGGAAAGGAATCTAATGATCAGGGATTCTATGATAGGCAGGTATACACATCAGATCGAGGAACTCCAAGTTAAAGCGAGAAGAATCCCACAATTGGCCTCGCAGTTGTCTAAATATGAATCCTTGCATGCGACTTTGACATCCCAAAGGGCGGCTCTAGCTTCAGATATGGAGACAAGCACGAAAGCCTTCGAGCAAAAAGAAAGTGAAATGCGTTGTCGTATGTTGAAATTGGAGTCTACACTGTCATCATCGGAGGCTAAAAATGTGGCAATGAAATCTGCATACCAGAAGGAAATTTGCGATGTCAAAGCATCCAAGAATGCCCTTGAGCAAGAAAAGAAGAAGACAGCCAGACGTTTGGCAGAACTAGAGTCCAAGAACAAAACACTGGCCCGAGATGTAAAGCAGAGAGAAGGCACTCAGAAGGCTCTCGAGGAAGCAAAGAGGACGCTAGAAAAGCGAGTTTCAGATCTCGAAAAGGTGCGTGCTCAACAGCGTTCATCTCTCGGTATCGTGTTCTGCGTCGATCTTAGCGGGAGTCTCCATGGAAATCCAGAGCGGCTGGCTAAGGATGCCTTCAGGAATCTTATTAACAACCTATGTGTGGAGGTTCCTGATGCTCATGTAGGTGTGGTCGTACACGAATCGAGCATTTACGTTGCTCGTCAAATGGCTGAAGTAAACTTTTTTACGAGCTCGGTGTTGGACTCAATACCTTGTGGTGGGGGAGAAGATTATCTTCAGGCATTTATTCACGTCGTATCTTTATTGTCGACTTTCAAAGCATCTTATCCTCGTGGGAAGCGACGCGTTATCATGATCTCAGATGGGCAAGACTATGCAACGTCAGGTAACTTGAGCACGCTGGTTGCCGATGGGGTACCATGTCACAACATCGTCGTTGGTAAAAGTTCCTCAGGATCGGCAACCGATATGTACTCGTCCATGACTAAGGGGCGAAATTTCATATACAATGGCTATTACGACCTAAGCGATATTGATGTTTTAATTGCCTGAGGGTTTAACGTTTCAAGGCTTGTGTCAAGGCCTAGCTTGGTGTACTAGACATCTGTTTACCTTGTCATGTCTGAGATTCTGCTTTGCAAAAATTGTCTTAGATTTCTAGATCACTTATTACTGTATACATGTGACCAGAATTACATTGAGACGTTGTAGTGCTTTTCTTTACAAGAGAATCCAGGGTATCCATTAAATCAAACAAAGCAAATCGAAGCCCTGATTTGCTTTGATTACTAAATCAAAATTCGTGATTTGCTTCGTCCTTGCCTCAGTTCCTCAGACGTGCTTGTGGCTAAGCTGCTTACTAACTCAATGTGCCAAGAATCAAAATTACGGCTTGATTGTCACTTGGCCCCACAAGATAAGCGAGCTATACCTATCTAGGTGATAATTATGTGTATTATCTAGTAATTCGTAATTTTACGTTAAAATCAAGAACTTGCAGCTATTTCGCACAGGATCCTGCACAGGAATCGCCGCAGAATCTACAGCTATTTCAACGCAAAATTCGCTGCAGAACCCTACGCAGAACCCTACGCAGAATCAGAAGGACGGCGCTGGTGGGTTTCGAACCACATGTGATTGAACTTACTGCCCACTGGCCGCGTATCCGCGACCGATCGAGCAACCTGGACCCAGCACTCAATCGTCCATGCATAGATCAGAAATGAATGGGTCGTGCATAGAATTACCGTAGGTTTATCAGGTCACACATATTCGCCGCAATCTTGGATCTCTATCGACCTCCGCTCAAGATATAATAATTAACCATCAACGGTCGACATTCACTTCTAAATCGAGTGATGTCATCATCTCACTTTTGAACTTGAACTTGTCCACGCGAAGGCCACTTGAGAGGGGGAACAGGCTAGATCGATGCGTAATTTTGCTCTAGCCACGCCATTGAACCAAGAAAATCTCTCACCACCAACCAAGTGGCTTTCCCGCATGTTTTCTGCTGCCCGGTTCGCTTCCTTAGGAGACTAACGACACGAAATTCGTGCTTCAGGACGACCGTCAGGCCATCATCAGGACCAAAGCACGGAGTCTACAGCTGACGCTAGAATGGTAGGGCCAGAGAGGCGTACTCTCACTGCCCTGAATTCTGGCTTTGTTTTTTCTGTAAAAATATTCTATTCTGGACCAGCAGCGAACTTGCCAGAACCTGCTAGTTGGCAGAAATGGTTGTTGATGTGGGCGCGCAACTCAGGTGACAGGTGTGATGCGCATTAACGACTCACCACAGGAAGTCGCCTACATTGAGCAGGCCATCAGCACAGTTTCAGGAGAGACTGGCATCGACCGTCGTGTCATCCTGGGCATGATTATGCAAGAGTCACAAGGCAACGTATGTGTCTACACAACTTGCAGTGCTGACGACGTCCGGAACGCTGGGTTGATGCAGTCGCATATTGAAGTGTCGTTCGATCTAAACAATGCTGAGCAAAGCATTCTCCAGATGGTCAGAGATGGAGTGCAGGGCACACCATTCGGTGATGGTTTGGTCCAAGCTCTTGACTAGATACGGAAACATATATGCCGCGCTCAGAGGCTACAATTCTGGGTCTGTGGATCCCAACAATTTAAGCTATGGATTCTCTTCGATACCCTCCCAGGTTTCCGATATCGCGAATCGGCTGACTGACGCCCCACCGAATTAGGTTGCCAATAGGTGGACCAGTGTCCTTCCATTCGTTGAGATGGTATCAAGTTCCTCTACTAAGTTTCAGAAATGGTCGCGCAGGCTCTTGATTGACGTTATCTATTGAAATCTCATAAGCATTGAATTCCCGGGCTCTGCCATGCCCTTTTTCGGGTCCTTATAAGTACATGCTGGAGACAGTACTGCCTTCACGAAACTGAACGATGAGAAGCAGATTGTATGCCGGTACAAATAGGTTTGATGTTTGTTCGTAATTTTCCCCGCTGACCACGCTACACGAGCTTCATGAGAAATGGACCTCGATCTGTGTCGAGTAATACGCTTATGGCTATGGCGGACTCGTAGCGGCGCCTGCGTGGCACGGCGTGAGGATTTGGCTGTACCGTACAGCCAAATCCACGTGACCTAATTTCCTGTGTCTTGGCACAGGAAATCAGGAAATCCTTATTAGGTCTCTTAGATAGTCAAGTAGTCCATAGCAGCACAGCAGCCTACGCTCAAAAGGATGGCGTTTTCACAATCTGGAGAAGATGTGCACGCACTTTTGCACATCGGGGTTCGAATATAGACATCCCAAGCTTTTAAGGGAGGTCGTTTTCATCTAAATGGCAATTGCCCAATCGGGTATGGGGCTTGTGTACACTTCAATCTTAATTCAAAATAACCCCCCCTTCTCCCGCCCCCAGATTCTGACTAGCGAATGAGGAAGCGTCCTGTACCCTGGAAGGGCTGGGGCCTCCCACCCAAGGACAACCCGCCTGTTGTCCCGAGGTCTACTTAGTAACCCCTCATGGTCAATGTGGCCTTTAGTGGCAGTCTTCCGTGCTGGCCAAGGCATTGACGCGGCCTGAGAGTGGGAGGCTTGCCGCCAAGAGCGGGAAAAGACGTTCTGTCATTGAATGCAGCCAGTCATGGGCTTCAGAAGCCCCTTCGCCTAGAACATCGTCCCATTACCTAGCCGGAAAGGGACTTGTGCACCGACACGGGCCTGAATGCCACGTCTAAACAGCCCCTAGTTTACACGCCTAGCTAGATCGATTCAGGGATTATTTATCATGTTCCATGCTCATTTGCGGGGATCAAGGGCTAGTTAGCTCATAGGGAAGTGAAGGCTGTTGTCATAAAGGCATGCTCACCCATGCCAATTGAGACACCTTGCTCTCTTGCACTCTTCCGGCCAATCTTATAGCCAAGCAGTTCAAGATGAGTCCAACTGCAAACATGGCCACCACTATGGACCCTAAGCGCGTCCCCAGCGATGAGAAATTCGAAGCGAATCACATTGATGAGAAAGGCTACCAACAATCGGCATTGTCAGACGATGAAGAGTACACTCTACCAGAACAGAGGAAGATCATTCACCGAGTTGATCGCCGCCTGGTAGTGACATGCGGAGTTATGTACTGCGTCAGCTTGATGGATCGCGCAAATCTTGGATCAGCTGCCATTGCTGGAATGACAAGGGAGCTGAGGCTCACAGTCGGGTTCCGCTATGTTGGTATTGATGCTGATGAGTAGACTAAAATGCTAATACGTGCTCTAGTCGACCATTGCCCTCGTCTTTTTCATCACCTACGTCCTTTTTCAACCTCCTGCCACAGTACTGTGCCGGAAGATTGGTCCGCGGCCATTCCTCGCATTTATCACAGTTGCGTGGGGAATTGTTATGGTATGACGACTGTGTTCGGGTAATGAAAGTTGACGCTGATGGATTTCAGATTGGAATGGGCTTTCCAAAAAGCTGGGAAATCATGATTCCTCTAAGAATGCTCCTGGGCCTTCTTGAGGCTGGGTTCTTTCCTGGCTGCGTATACTTGCTCAGTAAGCAACGCCATTTGTCATTTTGAAACATACTGATCCCCTCTCAGGTACCTGGTATAGCAGATACGATATCCAGAAGCGATACTCTGTCTTCTACCTGATTGGGTCCATGGCTTCGGCTTTTGCCAGCATTTTGGCTTATGGTCTGATGCAGATGAATGGCCTGGCAGGACTTACTGGCTGGCGGTGGATTTTCATTATGCAGGGAGTGGTGAGACCATGTCAACGACAAGTTGGCGTCTGGCCTTGTAACGCTAATATTCTAGTAGATCACTTGCCTTGTTGGCATCTGGGGATATTTCTCACTTGTCGACTTTCCCGATAAAGCCGCCAAGGGATCGTGGCGATTCTTGTCCGACCGCGAGTGCAATTTTATCCTCCGACGAGTTGAAAGGGACCGAGGCGACTCGCGGCTAGAGCCGTTTACTCTCGGCAGGTTTATGAGACCTGCTTTGGATTTGAAGATCTGGGGCTTTGCGTTGATCTTCTTGTTGGTAATCTGCTGCAATGTGTGAATTGTTGTGCTGACGGACACACAGCTCTTTGGCAACTGTTACCTACGCGATTGCCTATTTTTTACCGATTATCTTGAGGGACGGTATGGGTTTCAGCGTTGCTGCTGCTCAATGCCTTGTTGCGCCACCATACGTTTTTGCGGCGATTCTCATGTATACGACTGCCTGGTTGGGTGATAAATACCATACGCGTGGCCCGATTTTGGTGTTCAATGCCATTGTTGGCCTGATTGGCTTACCTATCATGGTATGGCTCGCAAAGTTCCCCATACCAGTAAAACGGTTACTAACATGAGACACAGGGCTACGCTTCTACTTCTGGAGTACAATATTTCGGTGTCTTCCTGGTGACGGGTAGTTCCAACGCAAACATTCCTGCTTGCATGGCCTACCAAGCAAACAACATCCGTGGTCAGTGGAAGCGCGCTTTCTGCAGTGCTAGTCTTGTTGGTCTTGGCGGTGTGGGTGGCATCGCAGGCAGCTTGGTATTCAGATCCCAAGATGCACCAACATACCGTCCTGGCATCTATGCTGCTATCGCTTGCAACATACTCGTTATTTTACTCGTCTGTGCTTTGTCGGTGTATTTCACCATTTGCAATCGCAAGCAGGCTCGGGGGCAGATGGTCATTGAGGGCCAGGAGGGGTTCAGATACACTATTTAGATCGAAGCAGGCATCTGGGCACCCTGTTCAACGGTGCTCCTCTCTTATTGCTGGCACTTACCCCTGGCAGTCTTCTTACGGAGTGGACACCTGCTTCCGACCATACTCCCGATGTGCATTGTATCAAACATGTTGCTAGACTGTAGGATCACGAATGAACCCGTTGCCTCTTCGGTATATCCGCTGAGCCGGGTGTCGGCAGTTATACCAGTCTCGGTAGCACCATTGTACAGGAGACATCCTGGCTTGCCATCAGGTACGGTGTCAGGTGCGGGAGTACAAACGACAAGGACCTAGTTCGTACCTGCATCCCAGCTAGATTCAATCATTCTTCAACTTCAATCCCGCAGGAGTCCTTCACGTATTCAGCATTGAGCAGTGCTCAAAAGCTGGTCTCTCGATCGTTTCCGCCCCAAAATAATCATGCCGTATTCGATGCTATCAAAGGTACAGGTAATTCTTCATTTTTGGCCTATGAAATTCTGAGCTGTCGCTTGGTAAGGACACAAGTGACGTCCAGGTATGATCACTGCAACAAGGGAGAGAACAGAGCCGCCCTGGCTCGTCGTGTTGTGGACAGATGTTGGCTGCTTCAGGATTATGTCCAATGTAGCTCTACAAGCAAGAGATCTTGTCTGATGGGTACTACATACGTAGTAGGTCTAAACCTAAAAGTTAGTGCGTAAGTTAGAGCAAACAAGCGGACAAGCGGACAAGCGGACACGGAAAGGGCGACCCTCCTATGCCAAGACCAGTATGCTATAAGTATTACGGCTACAGGCCTAATTATTGTAACCCCCCTGCTGAAAACGTTAGTATCTGTATAAAACATACTAAGAAGAATTAGGTATGGGCGTCCACAAATCGGCCTAAATAGAACTAGTCTTAAAAATCAAATTTTTACATTTCATGAGCACCTCTAACTACTTGAATTCTTGTTTGCATCCACTAAAGCAGCTTCTTAAGATAGTCAGAAGACATAGCATCCTATAAAGCATTTAATAGCTGCTGTCTATCATCAGGCTGATTAGTATCCATGCAGAATTAGTGGAGTGTGTACGGAGTAGAATGAGCAGAATTTGCAGGATGAGCAAAATTCGTGCAAAATAGCAACAGGGACGCTGACAGGGTGTGTGTGTGTGTGTAAAAAACACGTTTGTAAGATATTTTGACCAGGGGGTTACAAAAATTAAGCCTGTAGCCGTACCACACGTGACTAAGTATACGCTAGCGGAATCGATGACCAACCTCCTTGCGCCATTGGCATTTTTCGTGCGCTTTTTAATTATATCCCGAAGATAATGGAACGGCAGCTTCTCAACAGGCTAGTATTTGTCTATCAACATATCCCAATCATTCTGTGATTCTACGGTCACCGCTCGTCAACGACCTCGGAGCACATAGCATGCTCCTCAGTGTTGCAGCGAGGACCCATCTTGTTCTTGGATCCGCCGCTTTCTGCAGACAAACCGGCCGTGTTTCGTTTCCAGTTGCCCTCCGCCCACCACGAACACCCTGCCTAACTCGTTCCATCATGGCCAACGTACGCCGAATCACAGATGATCTTGAGAGGCCTTCTCTCGATGATAGATCCTATCGAGTCATCGAGCTTCCGAACAAGCTCCAAGCTCTCCTGGTACATGACCCGGAAACAGACAAGGCTAGCGCGAGTATGAACGTAAACGTTGGAAGTTACTCTGACGACGACAGCATGCCCGGAATGGCTCATGCCGTCGAGCATTTGTTGTTTATGGGGACAAAGAAGGTGTGATACAATCCCTAGATTCTACGTTGCGTTTCATGAAATTGACATAATCTCGATCTATGCCACCGCTGACGCCTTCCACAGTACCCAGTCGAGAACGAATATAGCTCGTATCTCAGTTCTCATGCTGGACACTCGAACGCCTACACTGCTCCAACACAGACGAACTATTTCTTTGAATGTGCAGCATCAAGTGAGGCTGAGAACGCTACCGAGGTTGATAATGCCGCCTCTCCACCGGTCAACGGCGTAGCGTCTTCTCGCAGCCCCTTCTACGGGGCACTCGATCGATTCGCCCAGTTCTTTGTTGAACCGCTCTTTCTGGAGTCAACGCTTGACCGAGAACTCCGAGCTGTCGACTCAGAAAACAAGAAAAATCTTCAGAGCGACCAGTGGCGCCTTACACAGCTGTCGAGGACAATATCAAATCCGAAGCATCCTTTTTCCAAATTTTCTACTGGTAATCTGGAAACTCTTCGCGACCTTCCGGAGAAGCGAGGCGTCAAGATCCGTGAGAAATTCATTGAGTTCTATGAGAAGCATTATTCCGCAAATCGTATGAAGTTGGTCGTGTTAGGTAAAGAGCCTCTCGATGAATTAGAACAGTGGGTCGATGAGTTGTTCACAGGCGTAAAGAACAAAGATCTGCCTGAGAATCGATGGGATGGCCCAGAGCAGCCTTTCACCAAGGCAGAGCTGTCAACTCAGATTTTTGCGAAACCAGTAATGGAGTCCAGAACTTTGGAGATGTGGTTTCCCTATCCGGATGAGGAAGACCTATACGAAACACAGCCGTCACGATTCTTGGGTCACTTATTGGGTCACGAAGGTCCGGGCAGTATTCTGGCTTATATCAAAGAGAAAGGATGGGCAAACGGTCTTTCCTGCGGGTACTATCCACTCTGTCCCGGCACTGCATTCTTTGATCTCGACATTCGCCTGACGCCAGACGGGTTAGAATATTATCAGGACGTCATGAAGGTTGTCTTCCAGTACATATCATTGATGAAGGAGCAGCCACCGTTGGAGTGGATGTTTGACGAGATGAAGACCATTGGGGATGTCAACTTTAGGTTCAAGCAAAAGTCGCCAGCAAGCCGCTTCACAAGTGCTACTAGTGCTGTTATGCAGAAGCCTCTTCCTAGAGAATGGCTGCTTAGTGGCTCTACCAAATTGCGGAAGTTTGACCCTGATGGAATCGTTCGGGCCATGCAGTATCTGCGACCAGACAATTTTCGGATGATGATTGTCAGCCAAGATCAACCAGTCCGCCTTGATAAGAAGGAGAAGTGGTACGGTACAGAGTATGCAGTCCAGGACATACCGGAAGACCTGCTGTCAGAGCTTCATAAGTCATGGCAAAGTGGAGCGAGAGAAAGACCAAAGGAGCTGCATCTCCCACACAAGAACGAGTTTATCCCGACGAGGTTAGACGTGGAGAAGAAGGTTACAACAGAGCCGGCGACGGCACCGAAGCTGATTAGACACGATGAGATGATGCGGGTATGGTACAAGAAGGATGATAGGTTCTGGGTACCAAAGACGAATTTTCTCATCACGATACGCAGTTCCATGACCTATGCCACACCCGCGAACCACGTCAAGACTAAGCTATTTTGTGAATTGGTCAAAGACTCTTTGTCCGAATATGCTTACGATGCAGATATTTCAGGCCTTGTGTACAACACGTCTGGGACGGTGCTCGGTATCGATGTTAATATTGGGGGCTACAGTGACAAGCTACCCGTCCTGTTAGAGAAGGTTCTACGAAGCATGAAAGAGCTAAAAGTCGGCCCAGACCGATTCAAGATCATCAAAGAGCGGATATCCCGGGGATACAAGAATTGGGACTACCAAAAGCCATACTACCAGGTTGGCGGTTATGTCCGATGGCTCACGCACGAGCAATCCTGGATCAACCACCAATATGCGGCTGAGCTGCCAAACATTGAGGCCGATGATGTTCAGACGTTTATTCCTCAAATTTTGGGCCACAACCATATTGAGATTCTAGCTCATGGAAATCTATACAAAGAAGATGCTCTGAAGATGGCGAACCTGGTTGAAACCATTCTCAAACCTCGACCCCTCCCGCAATCTTTATGGCATTTACGAAGAGACATGGTCTTACCATCTGGAAGTAATTACACATATCGACGAAGTTTGGTCGATCCTGGCAACGTCAACCATGCGATTGAATATAGTCTGCTCATTGGTGATAGAACAGACCGCAAGCTGAAGGCCAAGGCTCAACTTTTTGCGCAGATGCTGCATGAACCAACATTTGACCAGCTAAGAACAAAGGAGCAGCTTGGATATGTCGTCTTCAGCGGAGCGCGATTATCCACTGCGAGTATCCTTTACCGCGTCCTTATCCAATCCGAAAAGGATCCAGATTATCTCGAAGGGAGGATAGAAGCACACCTCTCAAGATTCAGAGCTGACCTTGAGAGAATGAGCGATTCGGAATTCGAAGCTCACAGACGGAGCGTCATCAATCGAAAGCAAGAAAAGCTCAAAAACTTGGCATCCGAGACGGCAAGGCTGGCGGATAATATTGGGAATGAGTACTTTGACTTCTACAAGCTGGACCATGATGTGGTGGAGCTGAAACAGCTGAACAAGGGAGACATACAAGACTTCTACAATGAGTTTATCGATCCGCACTCGAAGACGCGAGCGAAGTTATCTGTACATATGGTCGCACAGAGTACGCCGAACGAAGAGGCAAAGTTGTCTCCACAACAGCAAAGCGAAGCTCTCCTAGATGCACTGAGCAAATTCCTGAGCAGCTCAGGTGTCAGCTGTGATCCTGAGACATTGAAAGCCTCTCTGGACAAGGTCGACATCCCATCAGGTGATCAAGAAGGTGTGCTCTCCGCGGTCAAGGCGTACGCCGAATCATCTCTTCCTGATGAAAAGATCGACTCCATTGCAGCGCAGTTGCACGAAGCGCTGCCTCCTCTGTTCATGACCTTGGGGATCAAGTCGAAATCCGCTGCGAAAGAGCAGGAACAAGAAGCCGAGCAAGATGCAGCAGCCAGTGGAACTGTCGAGAAGATACCGCCTGTCATGGTTGAGAATGTGGATACTTGGAAAGCAGGCTTGCGGGTCAGTGAGGGTCCCCGGCCATTGGTAGATCTGAGCGAATTCGAAGAGATGGAACCAAAGCTATGAAAGATTGGGATAGATAGAAGGCAGCATTAGAGCACGCCGCATCTCCTGTCATTCGTGTGATGATAGAGTAGATTTCATCAATAGATTTTCTTGGAGCATCTATCACTATGAATAAGCGACGGAATGGACGTTTCCACTCCACAGCACAACACTGGTTTCCGGGGCATCTGATGCCGTTGTTAAAACCTGTTGCCCCTCGGGTCATGTAACGTGCTACCACTCTTTTTGTCAACATCACTACCCTCCATAAAACTACTTCCCCTCCCTGCGCACGCCATCGTCCATAATCACGTCGGTCAAGATGGCGACCACATCGCTGTCAGCAGCCGTTTCTTGCACCTCTCCTGATGGAGGGCTTGAAAATGGGACCGGTGTTAGGGCAGATCTGTCCAGTCTTGTTGATCTCCTGAACATGGCGCATTTGGCCATAAGTCCATTGTCCTCTCATCTGACACAAATTGGTCGCATCTCGTCTCAACCTCAGGTTCGTCTTATCTGCACTCAACTTTCACCATCAGACCACTGCCAGACCACTCCCAGACCACTTCCACTGAAAAAGTACTTTCATATCTTCTTTCATGTACTTTCCAAAGAAAATTTTTAATTACTTACATTCTTCCTTTGTTGGAAAATCTGACTGGACTATCCCCTGGGTCACTGAATAGCATTCCCGCAATTTAGTGTCATAATTCTGCTGTAGCCTTGGCAGAAGGAACATCAAATTTTCAAAATTTTGGTATTTTCTCTGCTAAGGCTGCAGCTCTTCCGCTAAGTCTACAGCAAAAAAAATGAACATCTTTGTTGTTCCTACTGCCAAGAATTGTAATGCTAGATCGCGGGAGTGTTATTCTCAACTAGGAAGGCAACCCATTCAGTGACAGGAGATAGTCGGACACAAGACACTTATTCCCTAGTTATAGTTACAGTTTCCATCCTGAATGGTCGATCATGTGGAAAGCGCTTCTCAGGGTATCCCGTAAGCACGGGAACTGTAAGTAGATGGAACAATATATTCTTCTCTGTTGTTACCAGAGAAGACCTTTTCTCATGAAGTGTGTGTTGTTCCGTTCGAGAGAGAGATATGGCGTAAGGAGCGATAATTCGGACGCTGTGATTTCACTTGTGGTGTATTTTCAGTTTTCCACCTAGCTGACGTTATCCACACTCGGTTGTAAATTCTGCGTATTTTCTAATGGAATACTGCAAACTAATCAGGACCTTAAGCTTAGTATTGCATCATAGACACACGGCCCGCTGAGCTGGAAGAATTACAATGCCCAATCAGGACTGTAAGAGGAAACAAGTCACAGCCTTGAAGCCCAATATGGCTTATCCAACACCTTAATCCATCTAGGGTCCTACCGAACGTCTGTTCTACTGTGGTATTCTTATTGAATAAAAGAAAAATTTAAATTTTATATGAAAGTTGTTGAGAAGTGCATTTGGGACCCATTCGAGGGCCATGCATAGGGCATGCGCAGGGCACGCCAAGGTCATGTGATATGTCACATGACATCAATGCTAGTGCAGATAGATAAATATCTGCCCCTGTTCTAGATAGAATCTATAATCTCTCTGGCCACGCCATGGCAACATACTGCTTCTGCCCTGTCTATTTCCAACAAAAGTTACTATTTGTGATTATGTTGATAATGGAATGAGTTGATTAAAAGAAGAATTAAATACAAACATAAGACAATCTGTAAGATAATTAGATCAAGACAAAGACGAAATTACGTAAAGGACGTCATTAGCACCTAACGTTACAAGGTTAGGATGGCAATGTAACAGACAGAAAGAAAAGCCTATTCGTGAGGGGGGCGAGAGAGGCGGAAGGAGTAGAAGACAGAACAGGAGGATCTGTAGAGGAGATCAAGGAGTAACGCCGTCTTTACTCCGTATACCTGGGCGAAGCGGCGATGGTGGGCTAAACCGGAAGGGGCATCGGCATTGGCAACGATTTTACATAAGCAATGGCCTCGCGTGAAAAATGCTTGGCGCTGCTGGATACTCCGTACCTTGCTTGTATTTGACAGTTCCTCCACACAATTACCTGAGCGTTCTTGAATACGCTTCCCGCATATATACCGAAATCTCAGGCAGAGAAGCTGCGCATACAACTCTGGCACAGGTCTTGAATCAATTGGCTGCGCCCTAACCACTCCAGCGCCCGTTGGCGCATTCTCCCTGAGCCGCCCTCTTCCACCATGTCGACCATAACCACCACTGCACTTCAGACATCTTATCCGTCAGAGGATCCCCCGCGTGCCAATGCCAGAAGCTACATGCTGATCTTACGTGTATAGCCCCATCCTTCCGAAATCCTTCTCCGCCAACCAGCCCAAAACCATCCGCCTGTACCCTCTCTCCAACTACACGTTTGGCACCAAAGATACACAACCCGAAGAGGATCCATCAGTCATTGCGCGCCTGAAGCGACTAGAAGAACACTACGAGCAACATGGCATGCGGCGGACATGTGAGGGCATCCTGGTCTGCCACGAACACAACCATCCTCACGTGCTGATGCTGCAGATTGCCAATGCCTTCTTCAAACTGTAAGGAAGCATTTCCCAAAGTCCTACATTTGCATTTCTTGAAATTGACCGTTGTGGATCCCCCAACTAGACCGGGCGACTACCTGCCGGCGTCGGCCGAGGAGATCAGCGGGTTCAAGTCGCGGCTGAACGAGCGTCTGGCGCCGCAGAACACCAGCAGCGACCCCAACGCCGACTGGGAGATCGGCGACACCCTGGCCCAGTGGTGGCGGCCCAACTTCGAGACCTTCATGTACCCCTTCCTCCCCGGCCACGTCACCCGGCCCAAGGAGTGCAAGAAGCTGTATCTGATCCAGCTGCCGCGGAAGAAGGTGCTCAGCGTGCCCAAGAATATGAAGCTGTTGGCGGTGCCGTTGTTCGAGCTGTATGATAACACGGCGCGCTATGGGCCGCAGCTGAGTGCGATCCCGCATCTGCTGAGTCGGTACCGCTTTGAGTTTGTGGATGAGGAGGGCAACGTGGTCGCGGTGACGCCTGGTGAGGATCCGGATGTGAAGGGGGAGAATGGTGAGGAGGCCAAGATCAAGGTTCTGGCCGGAGGAAGTGGTGGTGGTGGAGGAGATGCGGATATGGATGTCAAGACGGAAGAGCAGAATGGTGCGCCGTGAAGTGAACACGGCAGTGGGTGCCAGTCTTGCCGAAGCACGCCAGAGTCTACAAAATACTACGGGTTAACCAATGGAGACCAGCAGCACAGAGGTACAGCAGAGATGCTGTTCAACTGGGAGGATTCTCACGGTCTCTCACCCATCCGCAAATGTGCGGAGGAATGGCTCAAACTCATGGCCTTGAAACGGCAATTCCAGAGCCGCGGGAACAAGCAGCCAGAGCTGAAGGCAAAAGTGCAATAATATAAATGCATGACCTCGTTGCCTGTGCCGATTCAGTCTCGCAGCACCGGCAGCACCCCTTAAGCTCGCATGACCAAGTCTCTCGCTCGCTCGCTCTCTCTCTCTCTCTATATCTCCCCCCGCGCCTTTCTCTATAACTTGTGTACAATCCTAATCTCATGCTCTGGATGGCAACTCCTAAACCTCTTGTGAACCGTTGACTGCGTCCCCCGACCAACCTTCCAGATCTTCAGGGCACAGCGGCAGCGTCGTCTTGAAAAGCCAGAGACCGCTGCCCTAGCATTAGCACTCGCTGGCTCAGAGATAGAACACAATCCCCTTCGCCTCCTCGAGAGGTTCCATGACGGCATGTCCGACCCTCTTTTTCTTTCTTTCTCTTCTTGATATTAGCCTGGGATGTATAATTTCAATCTCTGTGCCTTAACTAGTGCTTGCTCCCTCTAGCGCGAGGATCGCTTCGCCATGAGCATGCCTGCAGTTCTTATCGCACCGTGTAATGAATGACGGGCAATCGCTCGGCCATGATGGGGGGTGTGTTCTGTAAAGGGTGATGGCTCGATCAGCGTAGAGGTTTTTTGCTCTTTTTGGGGGGGCCAGATTTGGTGTCGTGGAAGGGAGCGGTTCGGGAATGTTGTGTGGGGTGTATGTCTTTTAGTCTAATCGATGTCGTGCGTAGATGGGTAGTCTTCGTTCGAGTCGCCGATTGCCAGGCCGGAACTCGGGTAGTGACGAGCAATGGCCGCTCTGATCATTTTCGCTCGCGTGTTGGCGAGGATGGAGCAAGATGTCAGCCCTCGGGATGGAGCTGATTGTTTTTTCCCTGTAGGTTGAAACGTCCATCAGCATTCACAGCTTCGCCTTCTCCATCTTCCGTCGCCTCTTCCACGCCCAGCTATCCAGCAGATTCCTGACCAGCTGCCACGATGCCGCCGCGAACCCGACAGGTGGAACAAGCAAGCAAACCCAGCTCCACCACCGCGGACTCGTCCTCCTCACCTTCTCCATCACCAGCCCGACCTCCCTCCTCAACTCCTCCTTATCGCCATCATTCCAGATGACCAACCCCCTCGCCTCCTCCCCCTCCTTCCTGGCTAGACACCTCTCCGCCTTAAGCCTAACATCCCACTGACTGTGCACGCGCTCCGTGGCCTCGTGGCGCGTCATGGCGCCACCCTGGGCGCGATCCCGCTCCAACAGCCGGCGGATCTGCAGCTCGGGCTCGCGCACCGCCACCACC